CTAATTTTTTAAATGCCTAAAAAATAAACTTAAAATGGTTTTAAAAAAAAAGTCAGTATATTTTACTAATATTCCACAACTATTTTATACACTATCTAATTCTTGTCCATATGGATAAAATTTCATACAGTTGTTTTAATAGCGCTATATAATTTTACACTTTTTTCCCTAACATATCAAATGTTTTCCACATTTCCACTTTTTCCTTTGTAACATTTTTAATGACCGCATGATATTCCATTGAGTTGACAAAATATAGTTTACTTGACCATTCCCTTATTTTGTTCCTAAACATAATTCTTTCCTTAGGATAAATTCCAAGATAGTAACATTTTGATGACTTTTGGTAGATATTTCTTTATAGCAATACACTTTTGTTTTGTTTTGTTTTTTTAACCGTCCTTTATCTTACATATGGGCACAACAGTTCAGATTTTCGGTCTCTTTTATAGCAGTTGTGTGTAAAATTCTAACTAAATCAGTTGCATGTAAACTCTGAATTTAGAGGCAACTTCTATTTTTGTCTTTTGAAGAGAAGATCCATAATGTTCAATAGACTCTATAAGAGTTCTATGTCCCTCCACCTGCTTAATTTCATAAGAAGAGAACATACTGTTTTGAAAATCACTGTATGTTAGAAAATAACTTTAAAACATTGCAGATGTTCTTCTGTCTCAGCTTACTAGAATCAGGTAGTAACAAACGAAAGCCCTGAGTTAACAGTAACTCAAAATAAGTGACACCACTAAAAGAGAATCATCTCAACATTAAACTTTTCCTTGATTTCTCCTGTCTCAGGCCCAATTAAAACAATACTTAAAAAATAAAATTCGCAAGCATATTTTTGATATCGGCAAAATATATAAATCAGTCATCTAAAAATAAAGAAAAATAGATATGTTAATTTCATAGATTTCTCATAAACCTTATTTGCCACTCCTCCCTGAAACCCAAGAAAGCGGAACTTAAAATTAGATGTGAAGATCTAGGCAGTCAGAGCATCTGCTCACTCAAAAATTCTCAGTTTTATTTCTACAGATAGCAGCTCTCAGGTTAGTAACCCGAGAGCTGATTTCAATGCTTCTGAGGGTAAACAGGGGAAGCTACCAGGTCTGCATGGCTTATAGCCTCATAAAGTATGACTCAAAGAGAGAAAGACAGAACAAAATCCTATACGTAGGAATAAACCTAAAGCCCTGCAATTAGGTTCAAATAATTAAATGTGCAACAAGTCTAGGGAGATGTGTGTTCATGTGAAAAAGACATGGGAATTTTTCATTAGCCAAGGTGCGCCTCCTTTCACATAGCGGTGCAGTTTGTCTTAGGACAAATACAGGATAACTTATAACTATAATTTATGATTTATATAGTTTTCATTTATAAAGGTCAGAATTATCAAGCACAACTGAAACATTATATACAATTCTAGATACTAAATTTTATGATAAGTGCTGACAAATACAGACATCTAGAAAGAGAAGAAAAAGACTGAATAATCTAAAAATCATCTGTTTCAGGAATGGTTAAAGTAGCCAGGCTATTTAAGCTAAAGAAAAAAGATTATGGGAGTCATGACATATGTTTCTAAAAACCTGAAGGGCCTTCATAAGCAGCAAAATTTATACGTTTGTATGTTTGTTTCGAGCAGGGCCAGACCAATACATGAAAGTTATTGGCAGGAAGACTTCTGTGACAGTCTTTCTAACAATGAAACAGCAAGATCTCTACACCTCATGAAGTGGGAACCACCCAGAAGCTCCCTCTCATGGACGCTGTTAAAAAAAAAAAAATCAATAAAAAAAAATTACATTTGAAAGGAAGGTTACAGCAGAATGACTTAAATTTCTATAGCAGTAATTCATGTGAGACTAAGGTAAGGTTCTGTCTAAAGGAATAAGCTTATGTTAGTCACGTGCAGATGAACAGGGCACAAAGGTGACCAGCTATTTCCTTTTATGCAAATCACTCCCACACTGTGAGTCTGTCCCCAGCGGAGGAGCGAACAGTCTCAGGCATCCCAGGCTGCAAGGGTGGAGCTGGGAGGGAAAGCCAGCAGGGAGGGGAAGAGACCTTAACTCCAGAGTCCCAGTCCCTAACCACTCTATCTGTATTTCTCTTTGCTGCTGAGGAAAAGCAGACAGGGCCTGGCTGAATCTGGAGGTCAAGAGACAGCACATCTGGTGCAAAAACCCTGGAATGAGGTGAGAGGAGACAGCAGACTATGAGAGGGGACGGGCTTGCAAGGGGACAGTATTTCAAAAACTCTGTACAGTGTTCCTGGCCGCAGAATGTTTCCTTAGCTACCTAACTGGGCCTGATATTTTTTCCTTTTAATCCTCATCCACGGGTATGTTTACTGATTAGAGAGAGAGAAGGAGAGAGAAACACTGATGAGAGACTGAAACATCCATCAGTTGTCTCCTGTACGTGCCACGACCCGCAACCTGGGCACGTGCCCTGACGAGAAGTGAAGCTGCAACCTTCTGGTGCACAGAACGATGCTCTAGCCAACTGAGCCACAGGCCAGGAATGGGCCTGATGTTTTCTTATGGATGTCTCTTAAAGGCTCTGCAGTCCGGAAAAGGCTTTTGTATTGAAACATACCCTTCAGAGAGCTAACCTCTTACACCTTAGCTGAGATATTGAACCACTTCCTGAGGATTAGAAAGGAACTGGGGTGGGCAAGGGCTGAGGGAGTCAAGAAAAGGCACTGAAAGAGGAAATGAAAAACATGAAGAAATGCTACACTGACTTGGAAACTGAGTGTACACTGAACTCCGCCAGGAAGGAGGGGGCTCAGGAATCACACGCTGCCTTTGGCGCGTGGTGTCTTCATCTTTTACCTTTCAACTTTTTACTTTCTTTTTTTCCCTACTCTGTCTTCCTGGTCCTTTTCTCTCCATTTCCTTTAAATATTCCCTGTTGATCATGTGTTTCTCTCTTCTGCCTGCTCCTGCAAGGTGAGGGGTGTGAGTCCAGAGGAAAGCAGGCAGTGACCTCTGTCACAAATGGCAAATGGTAACTTGCTGCAAGTAGTAGTATCGAAGGTTAACAATGTGCCAGGCATGAGGCGCTGTAAGATATGTAATGAGAAATAAGGTAGAGTACCTACCCCCAGGACGTGTACCGTCTGGTAGGACATAGATGGGATGCACATGAAGACACATACAAAGGACAAACAGAAGGAAAAGAAAAAATAGAAGCAGCACAGTGTGATGGGAACTGGCTTTGCTCTGGGCTCGGCTCCGGGGCCCAGGTATACAGTCCAACACTCGTTTAGACACTGCTGTGAAGGTACTTGTGAATGTGGGTAACATTCCGAGTCTGCTGACTTTAAGGGAAGCAGATTATTCTCTTACTGTGGGTAAAGGCCTTAGGAGCAAAGCCTGAGGTTTCCTGAGGCAGGAGTTCTGTCTTAAGACTACAACATAAAACTTCTGAGTTTTGGAGCCTGCTGGCCTGCCCTGCGAATTTAGGATTGAAGACCACAGCATCCATGACTACCTGAATTTCCAGCCTGCCCCACAGATTTCAGACTTGCCAGCCCCCACAATCACCAAAACCAATTTCCTAAAATAAATCTCAATCGATCTCTCTCTCTCTCCCAACCTCCCTCCCTACACACGCACGCACGCACGCACACTTGGTTGTTTCTCTGGAGAACCCTGACTAGTATACTGGTAGTCAAGATCAATTGTGCTGCTGAATTTAAGAGATTCAATGATTAGTACCAGCTCTCTCCAATCCTCGCAACCAGACACAATCTCCAGTTTTTAAGAGTATTTACTTACCTGATAGTCACTCACTTTACATAAAGTCAGTTCTGAGTCACTGGTTTTAAGTTTGATAAATCCTTCTACTTTATATATATATGAGTTGATTCTATTATTTTCACTTGCTTTTCTACCTCTGATTTTTTTATTTCTTAAAAATGTCTGTGCCAGACTCAATAAAAATCTTACCAGTATCATTATGAGAAACTGTCAAATTTTTCAGACGCCAAGAAAAGGCTCTGTCACCTTAGATGCCACACTGTCTGCTTTCTATCCCTGATACGGTGTTTTCAGTTATACTGTGTAGCCTGAAGCTTTTGTATGTTTCTTCATGTGAAAAGATCTATTTTAACTCTAAATGTTTGCTCTTTCTGGAAGGTGGTCACACAGTTTTTTTCTCCTGCTTCTAAATCTTTTGGCAGTGAAGACACTGCCTTCAAATACAATATGAGCTAATAGTATCATGCCAGCATAAATCATCTCTAATGTATAGAAAACGTGTGTTAAAAATGTCAACTGCAAAATACAGTATCCTACTGCTCCTCTATGTTGGAGCGCCATACACACTCCACAGCAGGTGTGAAGTTTTTTCTGCTACTTGAGATGGATGGCGTCCCTCTTTCTCACTACTCCCACCATCGTTATGTTCAGTCTACATTCAGCCATGACACATTGCAACTTGCTGACTTCATACCTACTCTTTCTGTACATAAAATGAGTGAGAAATACAAAACCCCAATGGCTAACTTCTCCCTCCTTATGAAATCAAACTTGCTCAGGTGAATGTGCCTCTATCAAGACTTAGGTGAAATCTCAAAGCACACTCTCAGATGGGCTGGCACCGCAAGAAAGAGAGCTCACAAGTCACATGCGATTAACAGTAACTGTAGAGTCCATGTCATATACAAATCAAATCACTCCCAATCATTATAAATTAAACCAAAAGATTTCCAAATGGAACAAAGTATAGAAAGGTTCTCTCAGGTTTACATGACAACCGTGTGGTTGAAAGCTTTTCTTTCTCCCATGAAACGCAATATAAAGTACTTAAGAAGACAATTGTAAGGAAACAAGTCCTGGCTATTTTTTAAAAAGAATTATTTAGTATCATTTCAAATATAAATTTCCTCTTTCATCATGTAATTGACATGTGTCCCATTAAAACATGCAATTATCAGTCATATACAGCATGCAGCATGCAGTAAATGGACAGCAGAGGTTAATAACCTGGAAGCATAGGATCTGAGAATGTGAGAGCAAGTTAAAGATAAGAGTTCCTCTCCATTGTCACTGAGGCTCGAGAAGCAATGCTGGAGCGTAGAACAGTGAGAGTGGGGGAAATAGAGTTTGTCCAACACATAAACATATCTCCGCAAGTGGCGGCAGGTATAACTGAAAGAGAAGGGTAAAAGAAGAAAAACAGAGAGGAGTTTTCCTTTGAAAAAACAAACCATTCTCAATGTCCTCAAAGCTTTGTGTATATTTTCAGTAGATGGTGCCCAAGGTAAAAAAACAACTGATAAAAGAGACTATGAAGCCCTGACCAGTGTGAGTCAGTGGATTGGGTATCATTCCGCAAGGTGAAGGGTTCCCAGTTCAATTCTGAGTCAGGGCCTGGGCCTGGGCTGTGGTTTGGTCCCTGGCCAGGGCGCATGAGAAAGGCAACTGATCAATGTTTCTCTCCCTGTCTTTCTCCCTTCCCCTCCCCCCACCTTAAAAATAGAGAATATGAAAAAGATAAAAAAGAAAATTAAAAATCTGATTTCAAAATGGGCTAAAGACCTAAAGAGACACCTCACCAAAGAAGACATACAGATGGCAAATAAGCATATGAAAAGAAGCTCCACATCATACGTTATGAAGAAACTGCAAATTAAAAGAACAATGAGATACCACCACACATCTATTAGAATGGCCAAAATTCAGAACACTGACAACACCAAATGTGAGTGGGGATGTGGAACAGCAAGAACTCTCATTCACTGCTGGTGGAGTGCAAAATGTTTCAGGCACTTTGGAAGAGTTTTGGTTTTCTTACAAAACTAAACACGCTTTACCATATGACCTGGCAATCATGCTCCTTGTTATTTATCCAAAAGTGCTGAAAATTTTCGTTGACATAAAAACCTGCAGTGAAATGTTAACAGCAGCTGTATTCAAAACTGACAAACTTGTAAGCAACCAAGACATCCTTCAATAGGTGAAGGGTAAATAACAGTGGTACATTCACATGATGGAATATTATTCAGTGCTAAAAAGATATGAGCTGTTAAGCCATGAAAAGACATGGACAAACCTTAAATGCACATTGCTAGGTGAATAAAGCCAATCTGAAAAGGCTACATACTGCATGATTCCAATTCTATGACATTCTAGAAGAGGCAAAAGCATTGAGACAGCAAATAAATCTGTGCTTGGTTAGTGGGGAGAGAGGGGTGAATAGGTGTAGCACAGGATTTCTAAGACAGTGAAACTACTCCGTATGATACCACAAATGGGATACATGTCATTACACATTTCTTAAAACCATAGAGTGAAACCTAATGTAAACTATGGTTTTTGAGTGATAGTGATGAGTCAAGGTGGGTTATTGTAAGAAATGTACCACCTCTGGTGCAGGATGTTGATAGCAGGGAAGGCCATGTGTGAGGGGAAGCAGTGAGCACTGGAAATTCTCTGCACTTTCTGCTCAATTTTGCTATGAATCTCAAATGACTCTTAAAGAAAAAGTCTATTTAAAAGGAAAAAAAAAAGATACACATACAAGGGAAAAAGTCTCAAACTATGATGCTGTCATTAGTTAACCATGTGAAATCTGCCTTGGGAGAGTCAAGTGATGTGAGATATTTCTTTTTACAGTATTGTATGCACCTTCCTGGAAGCTAAGCAATAACACTACAGCCAAATGGAAGACGCCATGGTGGAGAGAACGCTGAACTGGGTGGGAGTCAGAAAATTTCGAAAGCTAGATCCAGCCCAGCCACCGGCAACTTTGTTACAGTGGGTGTACAGTATCTCTCAGCCCTTGATGCCACAAATTGCAACATGGAAGTAAAAACTTTAAATTACTCCAAAGTTTTGCAGTGATATTACAAAACAGTAAAATAATAACAATTATTATTATATTGTAGTTATTATTGGCAGGGCAATTTCACTCATGCCATATTACATACCACTTAAAAATAAGTTTAAAAGAGGAAAATAGCAAATCAATCTGACAAGGGGAATCAGCAAAATAGTGAACACATCAATGGATATGCCTAGATTACTAGTCTCTGAGAACCATGTCTAAAAATCACACCAAAAGTATAATATATCAAGTTTCCAAGAAGGTGGCAGGTGATGTTTAAAGTGTATTGAACTCAAAATAAAACTGATAGAAAGATTTGAAATGGGCAAATTTCCACAAATGAACAATCCAATCATCCATTCAATCAACTTAACCAACCAATCTACTAATCAGCCAAACAGTATCTACTATGTTCAACATCAAAGACATGTTGAGGAAGAACATAGAATTCTTACCTGTGTGAAGCTTACAAGATAGAAGGAAATATAGATATTAGACAATAACAAAATCCCAATAAAACTGCATAATTTTAAACTGTAACAAGCACTATACAGGGAAAGTACAGGGTGCTCTAAGAGGAGTAAAATGAAGATCTCTCTGAGGTGTGGAGGTTGAGAAATGGCTCTTGCAAGGCAAACTTTAAGCTGGCATGTTAAGGAAAAACAAAAGTCGGCTAAATAAAGAATGTGGATTGGGGGAGAAGGCCATGAATAAATTAAAAATCTATTACAAACCATACATGAATGGGGCAAGGAGAAATCAAAATTAATAGCCTTCCTATATTAAAAAACGAATCTGTTTTTGAAAATACAATGATTTGATTACAATGACAACAAAAACTGATGAAATACCCAAAATTAACCTAAAAGATATGTGTAGATATGTATGAAGAAACCTTTTAAAATGGTAGTAAGGAAAAATTAAAAAGACTTGATAAAATGGGGGGAAATACTATGTTCTTAGATAGCTAACTCTAGCTTTATAAAGTCACCAAAAGTTCATGTTAATTGAAAAGTTAATATCTTCAAATATATCCATAAGGCTAAAACAAACAAACAAACTAGACAAGTTCATTCTAAAGTTCATATAGAAAATTAAACATTTAAAAAGGGCCAGGAAATTGAAAAACTAGAGTTGTAAGATGGGACTAACTCTCCCACCTATTAAAAATACTCTAAAGAGACATTAACGGAAGCAGTTTGGTAAAGTGCATGCATACAGAAAACACTAGAACAGACGGAAATAGGGCAGGAACATATAGTATAAGAGAAAGGTGGCACTTTAAGAGAAAAAAATCAAATAAATTATTCAATAAATGGTATTAAAATTACTGGGTGGATAACTAGGAAAAATAGAGTGGACTCTTCACCCCATCTCTTCAATCAAAATAAATTTCAGGTTGATCATAGATTTGAAGGTAAAAAATAAAACTGTAAAAATTAAAAAATAAGCCATAAACCCGAGAGCCATTAAAAAATAAAGGCTCAAATTTGTCCACATAAAATTGGAGAATATGAATGGAAGAGACCATTACTCTTCACTGTGTATCTCTTGTACTGTATGAATTTTCTGCAGTTTTCATATATCATAGAAATAAATTAATGACTAATTTTTAAAAAGTAAGGGGGCACAAGAACGATTTACTTCAATCAGAGGGAATACCCTAACACAGGGAGACTAGGCAAGTTCAAAATCTGAAAGAAGTTTAATATAGCTGGTGTGTACTGGCCAAATGGTAAAAAGGTAAGGCAGGCTTGTGCAGGGCTTGTGGGCCATATTAAAAGGTTTATCCTATCATGTAAAAATAATGAAGGGTTTGAGCAAGGGAGCAACTAGATCTGATTTATGCAGTTCTGCAATGCAAAAACTGGAAAAGGGCAAAAGTTGAAAGATAAAACTGTACAGGGGCAGTAGTGGAAAAGCAAAGATGGTAAGGAGCTACTGCAATAGTCTAGGCAAGAAATGCTGATGGCTTGGAGCAGGGTACAGTAGATTCAAAATATATTTTGGAGGTAAAACCAGTAGGACTGGCTTATTTGCTGGAAGGGGGATGGTGTTAGTGAAGGCAGATATGAAGAATAACTCCCTGGCTGGGTGGCTCAGTTGGTTGGAGGACTGTCCTGTACACCAAAAGGCTGCAGGTTCGATCCCCATTCAGGGCGCATATGGGAGGCAACTGATTGATGTTTCTCGTTCAAAGAGATGTTTCTCTCTGTCCTTCTCTAAAATCCATAAAACATATCCTCAGGTGAGGATTAAAAAAAAAAAGGATACCTCTCTGATTTCTGGTACTAGGCCCTGAATGAAAGTACATTTTCTGAGACAGGAGAAACTGGGAGAGAGGTTTTATGGAGAAAATCATGAGTTTAGTTCAACCATGTTCAGTTTCAGATACTATAGTTGTGAGACATCAGAAAATGTTGGTGTAAGTCTGAAGCTACGAGAGGTGTGGACTAACCTCGAAATATAGACGCAGATGTAGATACATAGGTGGAAGTTATAGCTCTGAGAATGGGTCTGATTATTATTGGGTTGGCCAAAAAGTTTGTTTAGTTTTTTCTGTACGATGGCTCTAGTGCTTAGTTGTCTTTCACTTCATTCAAGACAATTTTGTCCAACTATGTTGTGACAGCTGTCATATCATCATGCATTTTTTAAAAAACTTATCAAAATCACTGAATATTTTGTACAGGCATTTTAATATTGAAGATGGAAGCATATACAGAACATTTTTTCAGTGTATTATGCTTTATTATTTCAAGAAAGGTAAAAACACAACTGAAGTGCAAAAAAAGATTTGTGCAGTGTATGGAGAAGGTGCTGAGACTGATTGAATGTGTCAAAAGTGGTTTACCAAGTTGATTAGTACTACTGACATTTTGTCTCAACAATTCTTTGCTGTGGGGCTATCTTATGGATTGGAAGATGTTTAGCAGCACCCCTGGCCTCTACCCACTAGAAGCTAATAGTGGGAGACAGCTGACATATCCAAAATACCCAAATCAATGAAGTTGTTGATGAAAATGAGAAATGTGTCTTTTTTTATGGAAAAAACGTAATGGACTTTTTGGCCAACCCAATACTTAAGGTGAGTGAAAAGAGAACTGGAACCATGCATTTACAAGTTAATGAGAGAAAGAGGTGTTTGTAAAAAATGCAAAGTGGTGGCTAGAAAGGTAGGAAAAAAATCGAAGAGGACTTTGCAAAACCAAAAAAGAGTGTTTCAAGAGGACCATGGTGATAATACATCTTTCAGGTTATTCCCCTACATGCACAACAAAAAGTAAGTTTTAAACTTCTCAAACTATATGATTGAAATACT